GTGTAGAAGTAGACCGAGATGACAACTAGGCCTGACGGGAGCCCCACATTCAAAAGACGCGCCGAAATGCGAGAGCTGAAGCCTTCAGAGAGCTCGGTCTCGATCACCGAGGACGCGATGGAGGGCACGACACCCAGAGCAACACCTGCCGAGCTCATGTTGGCCCCATCACCTGTCGAAATCGCCTTCCCGAGGCTCAGGTCAAACGGGTGTTGCAGACCCCATTGGCAGGCCTGCTGGAGCTTCTCATCCGTCTTCAGCCGTGTCTCCTGTTTGCAATTCACATGTGGCTGCACGCCACTACCGTCAGGTCGCTTCAAGTCAAACAGCTCTGGCCCCCGATCTCGGCACCAGTCCATCACCAGCTTGAAGGCCTCAACTGTCGGCATTGACTCCGAAAATCGCGAGGGCCCCTGGCTCTCGATCGACTGCTAGCACAGGGGGGCCCTGAATCGCAACGACCGCCTCGTAGCCCTCGCTATCGACGGTGAGCTTGTGTAAAGAATTTCCCTTGACAGCTGCAAACGTCTGCTGCGCCCGCAAAACACCCTGCCCCCCGACCCCGCGCACTGGCCCCCCCGCCTCCCGTGGAAGGGGTGCCATGGGGGAGGGAAAAGCAGGGGGCGACGAAAGAGCCCGCCGGGGAGCCCCTGGACCCCCGCCGCCAGGGCTTTGCGTTCTAACGCCGCACGAAGACCCAGTCGTCGCAACCATCGAAGGAGAGCATGCCGCCGACGAAGGAGGAGCCGCCTCGCATGTCGCCGACCTTGCCACCAAGCTCGCCCCTGCCCCCAACCCCGAAGGACGGGCCAGCTGGGGAGCATGACCAGCAGCTCCTTCTGGCGACCTATGCGGCCCCCCAGGGGCCGCGAGTGCACCAGTCGACGCGGATGGCCCAGACCTCGACAAAGAACCTCGCGCCGACGTGGGCAAGGGGGTTGGACGGCGAGGGGCCCAATCCCCCCCCCCTTGCCCAAGGCTCCGCTCCCCGAAGCAGGGGGCCTCACTGCGCCTAACTGCGGCCACTCCGACTCGTCCAGCTCCGCACTGCCCCCATCGCGCTGGCGGAAAAGCATCGAGTCGAACAGTAGGTCGTCTCGAAGAACTGGGACGGCGAAGCCCGCGGCGCCCCCCAAATCGGCGTCGACCATGTTGCTCCCCAAAAACAAGCTCAGAGCGCTAGTCACTGGGGCCATCGCTGCCGCAGCGGTCTGCATGAGGCTACCCAGTCCTTGGCTTTCTGATACGAATGCCAAGGGCGGCAGCTGCCTCGATGCACTTGCGCTCGGCTTCTGCTTGGTCCTCTTGCGTAGCCTGGCGAAGGCGCCCCGCTGCATCAGCGAACTCCTTCTGTTTCTGCAAATAGCCCTCGCCTCCAAGGAGCCCCATGTCGATATCGTCGTCCCCTGCGCCGCCTGACCCTCCACCGGCGCCGACAGCAGAGCCAGCAGTAGCAGCAGAATATGCAGCGGCCTGCTGAGCAGCGCGCTTGGCCTCCAAGGCCGCGGCGTTGAGCCGCTGGAGGGCAGCCAGGGCTGCTGCCCCCTCCGACGACTGGGCCACGCAGTCGTCCAGGGCCGCCGAGATGGGCTGGAGCGGGTCCGTGCTCTCCTCAGCCTGAAGACGGAAGAGCGCCGTCTCAGCAGGGCCGAGCTCGCCCTTGAGCGTCTCGACGTTGGAGGAGATCTCGCTGAGCTCCTTGTCCCACTCCTCGCGCTGCAGGCGAAGGACCGTCGCCCTCGACTCCAGAGCTTGCCCAGCTTGGTGCGCAGGTTGTCAACCTTCCACCTCTGGGTGCGCGCCGAAGGGGCATTCGGCACCGTAGCCCGCTGTGCCTTCTTCTCAGTTTCCTCCACTCTTGTCGCGTCCAGGCCCTCGCGCTTGAGGAACTGCACCACCTCGGCGTGGGTGAGCTCCTTGCCGCTGGACTGCTGTGGAGGCGACTTCCACGGCGGCTTGCTCCCTTCAAGCATCGCCACCTTCGACTGCAGGTCCTTGATGAGCTTCGCCTGGGCTGAGCCTGAATCGCCCGCGCCCGTGAAGCGAGGCGGCCCGTTGCCCATGCCCCTCCTGGCTTGCGCAGGCCACTTTTGGCGGGCGGGGCTGCAGCAGCTGCTGCCCTCTTTGCTGCCTGCACCACCTTGTTTGGCGCAGCTCCTCCACAGGCCTTGCACTTGATCCGACTGGCCCAATTGTCCCAGCAACCGCAGCGCGGGCACCCCCACAGGGGCGTCTTCGCGCCTGCCAAGACATCGGGCGGTGGCCCCATGCGCCGCTGGCTGCAGCGGCTGGGGCGAACGTGAAAGACTGCAAACGGCTCGCAAGCACGAGCCGCTCTGAAGCACGCGCTTGCAAGCTCAGCGCCACAAAGGGCCTGAGCCAGAACGGCGCGGAAGGGAAAGGAGGAGGAGGAAGAGAGGGAGGAGGAGGAGGAGGAGGAGGAGGAGGAGGAGGAGGAGGAGGAGGAGGAGGAGAGGAAGAGGAGGAGGAGGAGGAGGAGGAAGAGGAGGCGGAGGAGGAGGAGGAGGAGGAAAAGAGGAGGAGGAGGAGCAGCAGGATGAAGAGGATAAGGATAAGGAGGAGGAGGAGGAAGAGGAAGAGGAGCAGGATGGCAGGGGCCAGCCGTCAGAATGCTGACCGCAACGGACAGGGGAGGGAGGGAAGGGAGGAGAAAGAGGAGGAGGAGGGGGGGAGGAGGAAGAAAGAAGGAGGAGAAGGAAAAGGAGGCGGAGGAGGAGGAGGAGGAGGAGGAGGGAAGCAAGATGGCGGGGGGCAGCCGTCAAATTGCTTACCGCAACGGACAGAGGAGGAAGGGAAAGGAGGAGGAGGAGGAGGAGGAGGAGGAGGAGGAGGAGGAGGGGGAGGGGAGGGGGAGGAGGGGGAGAGGGGGAGAAAAGGAGGAGGAGGAGGAGAAGGAGGAGGAGAAGAGGAGGAGGGAGGAGGGGGAGGAGGAGGAGGAGCTGGTGGAGGAGGAGGAGGAGGAAGAGGAGGAGGAAGAGGAGGAGGCGCGGAGGAGGAGGAGGAGGAGGAGGAGGAGGAGGAGGAGGAGGAGAGGAGGAGGAGGAGGAGGGGAGGAGGGAGGAGGAGGAGGAGGAGGAGGAGGAGGAGGAGGAGGAGGAGGAGGAGGAGGTGAAGGGGGAAGAGGAGGAGGAGCAGGGGGAAGAGGAGGAGGAGCAGCAGCATCAGCAGCAGCAACAGCAGCAGCAGCAGCAGCAGGAAGGGGGGCTGAGACCGGAACGGTGGCCCACGGAGAGGGAGAAAGAGAGAGAGAGAGAGAGAACAAAAAAAAGGGGAGCAGAAGCAGATGGGAGGAGGGGAGGGGGGAGGAGGATGAGAAGAGAGAGAGAGCGAGGCGGGGAGGGAGGGAGGGGGGAATACAGAGAGAACGAGGGAGAGAGCGAGAGAGAGAGAGAGGGAGAAAGAGACAGACAGACGAATGGACAGACTGACAGGCCGACAGACAGACACTCAGACAGACAAAGCAGACCGACGGACAAACGGACAAACACTCGCGGGCGCATGTCTGCCCACACTTCGAGAGCACTGGCAAAAGTGCATGCGAACCCGCGCCGCCATACAGGTTGCACTGCTGCTGGCGCCACGGCCCGGTGAGAAACCCCCAGCCGGGAATTTCCTCAGGGAGCGGGAACCGCACGCCTCCGAGCCGACGCCCAAGCGGCGCGGCGGCCGCCTCGCATCCGGCCCCCAGCCAGCGCCGCGCCGAGCAGGTCGCCGCCACACCCAATTCGCCGCGGCGCGCCTGGCCCGGCCCGCTGGCCGCGGCCCCGCAGGGGCAGCGGCGCCCAGCTGACCCCCGCGGCCCGCCTCGGCCAGCAGCGGCGCAGGGCGCCAGGCGGTCGCCGCGGTGGCGGGCGCGCTCGTCCCGCTCGCCGCGTCGGCTCGCCTCCCGGTCGCGGCGCGCAGCCACCCGCAACTCGGCCTGCGTGGCGGGGTGGCGGACGGAGACGTCCAGCCGCCGCGCCCCGTCGTCGCTGTGGCACTGCAAGTCCAGGGCGGCGCGCTCGTGCAGCTGAGCGGCGGTGAGTGCAGCGTGACACCCTCTGCTCGCAGGGGGGCCGCTCGCCGCGCCAGCGCTGGAGGAGGCCTCCTGTTCAGTCCTCCGCGGCGCGCCACCACGTCCCCGCCCAACTGACAGGTCAGGGCACGGCAGCAGCTCTAGCCCAGCGCCCCGTGGCACCCAGCGGCGCGCAGGTAGCCGGCGGCCGGCGCGGTCGCGAGTTCCTGTTGGCTGAATTCCGCGAGCGGGAGCTGCAGCGTTCTCGAGCGTGCAGAGCTCGTCCTCTGAGTAGCTCCAAAAGCGCCGCTGCCGCTCCCAGCCGCGCCCCGCAGCGCGGCATGTCGGGGAGGGGGCAAGCGTCGCACCAGGGCTGCGCGCTGGGTCGTTCTGCACCCCCTCCGTGGCCTTGCTTCAGCGGAATCTGCAGCGACACAGAAACAGACAGACAGCCAGGCAGACAAACAGACAGGCAGACGGACAGACAGGAGGACAGGCAGGCGGAAAGACAGGCAGGCAGGCAGGGCAGGGCGGGGCAGGGCAGGGCAAGACAAAGGGAGAGAGAGAGAGAGAGAGGGAGCGCGAGAAAAGAATGGGAAGGGCGCGTACAATCGAGCGAGAGCACCTGGGAGCCATAGCTTGCGATACCCTGGTCGACGGCGGAAGGCAGAATGAGGGACGGAGGGGGTATGGAAGGAGGAGGGGCAGCTCGAAGTATACACCAAGTCGTCTGGTCGGCCAGGGGGCTTCCTGTATGGACGCCACAGCTCCCAAACCTGTGGGACCCTGGAGCGCACACGACCACGATCCCACCGACCAAGAAGACCAAGACGACGACGACGACGACCACGACGACGACGACGACGACGACGACGACCACGACGACGACCACCACCACCACGACCACGACGACGATGACGACGACGACGACCACGACCACGACGACGACGACGACGACGACGACGGCGACGGGCGGCGTTTCGTCCTCCGGCGGCGGCTCGGGTTCGCCGTGCGCTCGCCGTTCGGCGCGTTCGGCGGCGAGGCGGAAGAGCGGGTTGCAGGCGGAGGCCTCCTCTGGGGGGGAGGGAAGGGCAGGGGAAGGGAGAGGGGATGGAGAAGAGGGAAGGAGGGGAATGGCGAAGGAGGCAGAGAAGGGAAGAGAGGGAGGGGGATGAAGGAAGAAGTGGGAAGGAAGGGAAAGGCGAAAAGGGCAGAGGAAGGGACTTGCTTGGGGGCATGTTCCGAGGCATGACGTGCGAGACACAGGAAGGGAGAGAAGGGGGGGATGGAGAAGAGGGAGGTAGGGGAATGGAGACGAGGGCGGGGGAAGGGAGGAGCAAGCGGTAGAGGAATGGAGACAAGGAAGCCGCGCGGTTGGACAAAAAGAAGGGGGGGCGTGAGGCCCCGCCTATGGTCAGGCCGGGCATGTCCTCCTACATACAGGCGGATCTTGGGCGAAACATTTGAGATACACAAGCATTACTCCACAAATGCTCGAAAATACGCAACAAAAATCGTATGCAGGCTATTGTCTTATTATTTTTGAATGTTCCTCCTGTAGAGGGACATGCCCGACTTAGGCCTCGGGGCCCTAGGGACACCGTTGGCAACACCCCGCTCCTTGCAGCCGGGGAAGGTCACCAACAGGTCGCCCTCCTCGCGGGGGCGCGTCCCCGCGGCCGGCCGTCGCCGCCACGTCGCCGCCCTCGTTGCCGCCGTCGCTGCCGCACCGCTGGCGTTCGTCACGGCCGTCGTTGTCGTCGCCGCCGTCGCCGTCGACCTCGTCGTCGGGTGGTTGTTCGCGATCGTCGTCGTCGCCGCCGACGCCGTCGGCGTGTGCCTCGTCGCCGTCGGTGTTCGCGCACTGCCACGCGAACGGGAGCCGGTGGGGGAGCAGGGTGAGGAAGGGAGGGGGAGGAGGGGGAGCGGAGGGAGGGGGGAGGGGGGAGGGGGAGTGACGAGGATCAGATAGACTAAGGGGGAGGGGGAGGTCGGTCGGACTGACTAGGCATTGCAGCAGTCTGCGCGCCGTCTTGTCTAAATGTTGTCACCCCGAGAACTGGGGTTAGGTCGGGCGTGTCCCCCTACAGGGGGATTTCGACGAAAAACCAAAATATCAAAAAAATACTCCCAAATGGTTTAAAATAGCCCAAAAAAATGTTCCCAGGCTATTTTTGACTATTTCAGCCCTGAGCCCCAGGCGGCCCAACACGCAGAAACGAGACGGTGGCGGTGGACGGCACTAAGCGCTAGAAACGATAGCGCGGCAATCAAGGAAAATGTTGATGGGCCTGTTTTCCACCACCACCACCACCACCACCACCATAAGTTGGAGGGGGAGGGGGGTCCATCTCCTCCTCCACCTCCTCCTCATCCTTCCCCTTCCACCCTCCAACTTATGGTGGTGGTGGTGGAAAGCAGGCCCATCATGGAGAGGATACGAAAGAGAGTACAAACTATCGAAAATGCAACAAAGGAGAAGCAGCAGCAGCAGCAGCAGCAGCAGCAGCTGAACGATGGCTACTGAACAAGCGTTCCATACGCAATCCAAGGAAACACGTGGGAGCACGGACAACCTGGCAGAACTCACACCAGTCCACATCGGCCGCATGCATGGGCGCCAGCAGGAGCGCCTGGAGCGGAGCCCAAGAGAAAGAACTTGGATCGCGCGCTTCCCGTTTGCAGGGCAGGGGGCGCTCCATCCAGCCGCTGGTGCCAACCTTGGCACGCGGGGCAAGTAGAGTGACCACGCTGGCCAGCATGGGCACGCTGTGCTCCATCCAGACGCTGGTGCCAACATTGACACGCTGGGGAAGTACTGCCGATGGTCAGCTGCCGAGCCTCCATCGCGGCCGTGCAAACGCCCTGGCAGGCCGAACGGGTGCGGACTGGGGGCGGGCCAAGGCCCTCCATGCATCTCTCGCGGGGCACCAAGCCGCACAAGGGAGGCCACCACCCGTGAGCGCAATGCGGCGGGCAAGTACATGCTTGGACCACACGGCAAGGGAATGGCGTCTCAGGGTTGGATTTCTTGTGGAAGGTTTCTTATGGTCGGGCTCCTACTGTGATCGACTGGTGCTTCCCAAAAAAGGATTATCCCAGTGCGACCCTACCTAGGAGTTGGAGCCCCTAGGAAAGCAGCATTAGTAGTAACAGTAAAGCTAAGCTACAGCTAAGCTAAAGCTAAGCTAAAGCTAAGCTGAAGCTAAGCTGAAGCTAAGCTAAAGCTAAGCTGAAGCTAAGCTAAAGCTAAGCTAAAGCTAAGCTAAAGCTAAGCTAAAGCTAAGCTAACGCTAAGCTAAAGCTAAGCTAAACATGAGCTACAGCTAAGCTAAATAAAATATTAAGCTAAACTAAAGCTAAAGCTAAAGCTAAGCTAAAGCTAAGTTAAAGCTAAGCTAACGCTAAGCTAACGCTAAGCTGAAGCTAAGCTAAAGCTAAGCCAACGCTAAACTACAGCTAAGCTAAAGCTAGCTAAAGCTAAGCTAAAGCTAAGCTAAAGCTAAGCTGAAGCTAAGCTAAAGCTAAGCTAAAGTTAAAGCTAAGCTAAAGCTAAACTAAAGTTGAGCTAAAGTTGAGCTAAAGCTAAGCTAAAGCTAAGATAAAGCTAAACTAAAGCTAAGCTAAAGCTAAGCTAAAGCTAAGCTAAAGCTAAAGCTAAAGCTAAAGCTAAAAGCTAAAGCTAAAGCTCCCAGGGGACTGGGGGAAACCGCGGGGCGGGGACCGGGGGAACCGCCCGGGGCGCTTTCCATTGCCCGGCCCCTTTAAGCTAAGAGAGTAAGAACCCTTCTAGGCAGAGCCTAGGTAAGGAAAAAAGCAACATAAACATGAACTGTTGGCGCTCCGCGCAGATTTCTTGGATCCGCGCTGGGGCCCCCTTCGGCGTCCACGGCGAGATCCACACTGAGCACCGCAATACAGCAATCCATTGAATGATGCGACCACTTCAACGGAGGGGGAGGGAGGAGGGGGGGGGAGGGAGGGAGGGAGCGAGGGAGAGAGGGAAGGGGGCGGATGAGGGGGAGGAAGGGAGGGACAAGAGAGGGAGGAGCGGGTAGGGAGGTGGAGGGAGGCGTCCTCCTCCTAATTCTCCTCCTCCCACTCCGCTCCGTCCGCCTCCTCCTCCTCCCCCTCCTCATCATCCTCCTTTCCCTCCTCCTCCTTCTCCTCCTCGCCCTCCTCCTTCTCCTCTCCTCCTCCTCCTCCTCCTACTCCTCCTCATCCTCCTCCTCATCCTCCACCTCCTCTTCCTCCTCCTCCCACTCCTCCCTCCCCCCCCTCCTCCTCCTCCTCCTCCTCCTCCTCCTCCTCCTCCTCCTCCTCCTCCTCCTCCTCCTCCTCCTCCTCCCTATCCCCCCCCCCTCATCGCTCCCTCCCTCCCTGTTCGCTCGTTCCCCTAGCCTCAGCCGAAGTCACGATCCTGACGGCCGCGTGCCACGTGAGATAGAGGCGCCGTTGCCTTGACACATTCCACCATGACGATGGCATCAAGTTTCGAATGCAGAGATGTTGGACGCTTGGAAATGGGCACCAACACCAACACCAGGGGTTGCCTCCACAGAAGGAAGATGATCCTGGATTTGGGTGTTGGTGGTAATATTTCGGCCGCCTAGAAGCCCGAAAATTACCACCATCACCGAGATCGGGATCTTCTTCCCTGGGTGGATGCACACCGCCGATGTTGGTGTTGGTGTCGATATCTAGGCCTGCGAAGATGGGCTGCTGCAGGACCGTGCCAGGCGTAGGGATAACGAAACGAATCACGTCTGCCACGTGCCTGTGCTTTCGCAGCGCACGGTGCCGGCCGACCGAGAGACGGAGCCTGTAGCGGTCTGCGCTCGCATGCCACACTCAGGGAGTGTGAACATGAAACGCAAACAAGAACGAGCGGGGGGAGGGGACGCGCGAAAGACGGGAAAGAAAGACGAGAAAAGGCTGCAGGAAGCGAGAAAGGCAATAGAGAACTACAAGGAATATGTTAAAAAGTAAAATACAATACAGTGTCAGGCTGACGAGCAGCAGCGGACGAGAAGCGGCGCGGGAAACGAACCCGTCCTTCCCTCTCCTTCATCATCCTTCTCCCCCTCCTCTTCCTCCTCCATGTGCGCGCCTTGAAAGAACTCCTCCCTGTCGCATCCCCAGGCAGCCGCGTCGGATCGCCAGAACTTCGGAATCGAATCGGATCGGACCCTCGATTGCTTTCCCAGGGGGGCCACAGGGTACCGATACCGCTACTCCCTGGATCTCTCCCAGGGTGCGCTCTGACCAGAAGTGCGAGGCGAACCCAGCCGCGGCGTCTGGGGACAGGTACAGCGGCGTCGGAACCAGTCCCTGCTGTGATTAGAGGAACAAAAAGCATAAGAACATAAACTGTTGGAGGTCCGCGCTGATTTCTTGGATCTGTGCCGGACCCCCCTCCCCTGCGCGCGGAGCGCGCCAGGGGCGGCGCCAGAGGCGCCGCCGAGGGGGCCCAGCGCAGATCCAAGAAATCCGCGTGGAGCGCAAACAGCCTATAATTATGTGGCTTTGTTTTTCTTCGACTGATTCACGGCCCCTCGATTTCTGTTCGGCTCCTCGTAGGCGTCCGCCTCCATGTAGAAGGCGTTCAGCGCGTCGTAGGCGTTGATCTCCCGCTGCGGGATGACAGCGGCGCGCGGGTGCAGAGCGTCGCCGCCGGCGCTGGCGAGGGCGCCCTCGTTGAGGAGCAGGTGGATCATAGCGTCCTGGTCCCCGAAGAGGGGCATCTCCTCGGGGGGGCGGGAAGCAGTCTGACTGCCTACCAGACCACCCCAACCTGACCCGAAGACCCAAACTTCGGGTTGGGCGGGGTACGGGTTCCGCATGTGTTTTTTCGATGCTCCCCGTCTCCCCCCCACTGGAAACCGAATGTACAAATTTGGGTCTTCGGGTTGGGTTGGGGTGGTTTGGTGGGTGGTGACAGTCGGCATCGAGTCGACAAAGACCGTTTTGAATCTGATCGGCGATCACCCAGGTCATCTGGTGGGTGGGGGTAAGACGCAACTACTGCGAGAACCTCGTCGGAAGGCTGAAGGAAGATTAAGCCGATTCAGGGGGCTTTTACACCAGAGTGGGCCTCTGATTAAGCGGGATCCAGCGGGATTAAGCCGGATGAGGCGGGATTAAAGCGGGGTTATGCCGGTTTTCGGACCAGGGCAAAAACAGAATTGAACCTCCCAGGAGTTGCATCCGAAGGGAAGAGTGACGGCTGATAGCCTATAACCTGATCGCTCTAGGCAGCCCCCCGCAAGTATGCCCGCGCGCGCCACCACTGCGCAACCCCTCTGGTCTGGGCCTACGCTACGGACAAGCTCAAAGTATAGGGGGGGAAGGGGGGGGGGCGGGCACCGCACAATGTAGACCAGTGCTAGGCGGCGGGTATCACTGCACTCGCACATCGCACGGCGAACATGTATCGGGGATGGACAGAATCCCCTGTAGCAAGACGTGCTTTGGTGCAAACGACCTCGGGCCCAAGCCTGGCGGGCGCAAAAGCCTGGAAAATGACGGCCGCGGCGCCCTCTCGAGAACCGAGAACGGACAATCCACTACTCGGCGTGTCGGGGTGGGGGCTCTGTCCACCCCCGAGTGCAGAAGAACAGGGGGCGAGGGAGCGGAAATGAGGAGGGCGAGAACAGGGTGAGGTGGGAACACCACTGCGGCTGGAAATTAAGCTCGCAGGCTATGCTACAAGCCATCATGCCAAGCCATCTGGGCTGAGACACAATGTTTTTTGGGACGCTAGGGGACCCTGGCTCGCCGGACCCTAAAGAACAGTTTTCACTCAATCGACATCGGATCGGATCGGAAGAGGCATCGAGTCAGGCAGCAGCAGCAGCAGCAGCAGCAGCAGCACGGAGTCGGAATCGAATCGGATCGGCTGCACTCGGAGGCCCAACTACGCCGTGCAAGCATACCGGGCAGCATCAGATCGCCAGAATCTCGAAATCGACTCGGATCAAGCCTGGTGAACCTGGGATCGACTCGGATCGGCCGAATCGAAATCGGCCCTGGGTATGAGGACACAGAGCGTCGATTTGATTACATTTCGTCCAATCGGTTTGTCTCCTTTATCTCGCCTTGCGGGGGACCCCGTTGACGGGCCCCGAGACCCCGCGGGGGCCCTCGAAGAACAGACCCAGTGCGAAGAACTATTCCCCTGGGCTTCCTGTTGCCTCCTGATCCCCCTGTGGCCTTCTGGAGCCTCCTGCGGCCTCCAGGGGCCTCCCAGGGCCTCCTGGGATACTCCTGGCAACCTGCTGGGGCCTCCTGTGGCCTCCTGGGGAGTCCGGGTGGCTCCAGGGCATCCATGGAGTTCCTTGTGGCTCCTGGGGCCTCCTGGGGACTGCCGAAGCTTCCTGTAGCTTTCTGAAGCCTCCTGAAACCTCCTGCAGCCTTCTGAAGCACTCCGAGCATTTCCGCTCGACACGACCTCGCAATTCACTCACACACGAGGCTCCCGTTCGAGACTGCCTCCAGATTCAGGCCGCAGGGACCCAAACGTGACGACAGCTACAGCATCTGTATGGCCCGCCCAAATCACTGACATGAAGCAAAGCCCCTGAGGGCGGGAGCTCCCGCTCCAGACTTCCTCGCGAATCACTCCCAGACAAGGCTCCCGCTCGATACTTCCTTCAGACTCAGGCCTCAGGAGCCAAAAAAAGACGACACCTACAGGATCAAAATGACCCGCTCGGATTGCTAACATGAAGCGGGGAACCCACGTGGAGGGAGCTTCAGCTCGAGACTTCCTCCAAGCTCAATCACAGACAACGCTCCCGATCGAGACTGCCTCCAGATTCATGCCGAAGGAACCCAAACGCTAATGCAGGCAAAAGGATCTGTATGACCCGATCAAAACACTGGCATGAAGCGGGGGAGCCATAGGGAGGGAGCTCCCGCTCCAGACTTCCTTGCAATTCACTCCCAGACGAAGCGCCCGCTCGATATTTCCTTCGGACTCAGGCCTCAGGAGCCGAAAAATGACGACAGCTGCAGGACCAGTATGACCCGCTCGGATTACTAGCATGAAGCGGGGCCGCGTGTGGAGGGAGCTCCCGCTCGAGACTTCGTACCGAATCACTCAGAGACAGGGCTCTCGCTCAAAACTTTATCCAGATTCGAGCCGCAGGAATGTGCGTAAGCGCTTGAGTCCGTGAGTATGTGTGTGTGCTTGTGCGTGGGGGGGTACTGATGATAGTGGCGATGATGATGATGATGATGATGATGATGATGATGATGATGATGGTGATGATGATGATGATGATGCTGATGATGATGATGGTGGTGGTGGTGGTGATGGTAAGATGATGATGGTGATGAGGTTATGACGATGTTGATGCTGATGCTCATGCTGATGCTGACGCTGATGCTGATGATGAGGAGGATGCTAATGGTCATGGTGATGATGGTAATGGTGATGGTGATGGTGATGGTGATGCTGATGCTGATGCTGATGGTGATGAAGATGGCGGTGGTGATTGTTACGGAGATGGTGATGGTGATGGTGATGGTGATGGTGATGCTGATGCTGATGCTGATGGTGATGGTGATGGTGATGGTGATGGTGATGGTGATGGTGGTGATGGTGATGGTGGTGGTGGGTGAAGGTGATGGTGACGGATGGTGATGGTGATGGTGATAATGGTGATGATGATGATGATGATGAGGAGGAGGAGGAGGAGGAGGAAAGGGGGGGAGGAGGAGAAGGAGGAGGAGGAACAGGATGATGATGAGGACGATGACGATGGTGGTGGTGGCGATGATTATGATGGTGCGAGAGTGTGGGTCCCTCTGGTTCCTGCGCTGGGTGTCCAGAGAAAACGAGAACCCCACTTAGGATGCGAGCAACACAGTACGCAACGCGCGCAATGCACACCCAGAGGAGAAGGAGGAGGAGGAGGAGGAGGAAGAAGAGGAGAAGGCCAGAGGATGAGGCCAGAGGAGGAGGCCCCAGGAGGAGATCCTGCGCGCAGAGTGCGCGAACACATTTGTTACAACCACTCGCGCTGGACAACTCCATGGGCAAGCCCAGAAGGGCCCAGACAACCACCCACTCGAAAATGCCCATCTTGCAATCCTACCTGGAGTGACCTCCCAATACAACATAGCACTGGTGAAGAGGAGCGGAGTGGGAGGATGGAGAAGAGGCCAGGAGAAGGACGAGGAGTCAGACTCAGCGGGCGCATCGCCCTATGGTCGACGAAGACGAAAGGAGGACGAGGAGGAGCAGCAGTAGTGAGGAGATAGAGAGAGAGAGAGGGAACAGAGGACAAGAGGAGGCAGGAGAAGAGAGGAGAAATAAGGGCGAAACCGAACATATCATGACTTGTTCTCGTCCCTCGCCTTTTCTCGAGATGGAGGAGGAGGAGGAGGTGGAGGAAGAGGATGAGAAGGAGGAGGAGGATGGAGGAGGAGGAGGAGGAGGAGGAGGAGGAGAACGTCCCGACGAAGTAACATACGCGGCAGAGGGATCTGCCTAGCCTGCAGCCCCGATGAGCACCTAGAGGAGACCGAGGAGGGACGAGGAGAGGCGTCTCCTCGTGGCACAGGCGGAAGGCGCGCTCCAGAAAGCCGATGCTCCAGGCGCTGCGGCGCACGAGCCAGTTGGCAGAGCTGAGCCCCCAGCCCTCCTCGGCAGCGGGCAGAGACCCCCTCTTCCTGCTCCTCCGCCCCCTCCTCATCCTCCTCCACCTCCCCATCCTCCTCACCTGAAGCACCGTCACCATCATCAAACACCACCGCCACCATCACAACCACCACCATCACCCTCAGCATCACCACCATCACCCTCATCATCATCATCATCATCAGCAGCAGCATCATCAGCAGCATCATCATCATCATCATATTTATCATAATCATCAGCAGCAGCAGCATCATCATCATCAGCATCATCATCATCAGCACCATCATCATCATCATCATCATCATCATCATCATCATCATCATCATCATCATCATCATCATCGTCAACAACAACATCACCATCATCACCATCATCATCAGCATCATCATCATCATCATCATCATCATCAGCATCATCATCATCATCATCATCAGCATCATCATCATCATCATCATCATAATCATCATCATAACCTTCATCATCATCATCATCATCAGCAGCAGCAGCAGCATCCTCATCATCATCATAATCCTCATCCTCATCACATTTACAATCCATGTGTATCCAAAGACGTCGAGATAGACCATCCCACTCTGGATCCGCAGGGAGCGGGGAAGGGGTGGACAATTGGAATAATGCTCGTCTTCATCTGCATCTGCATATCCACCCTCTTTCAGATCAATATCGGCAACACTATCGCCATCACCATGACCGTAGTCATCATGATCCCCTCCTCCTCCTCCTCCTCCTCCTCAGCCGCCGTCCCGGCTCGAGGGGCCCTGGGAGGCTACCAGGTAGCCGCGCCCCTCACCTCTGGGACTGCTGCTATACGCGCCGCTTGTTCGCAGCCGCCATAGCGCTGCCCCGTGGCCGTGCTGGCCGCCAACGTCACGCAGGCAGGGCCTCTGAGCCTGCGTGGCACAGGCGTGCCCGAGCGGACCGCTCACGTGCTCGCGTCCTCCTCCGCCTGGAGGCGGCGCGACGACTTCTACAACGACATCACAGTCGCCAACAAGGACGACTCGTCGACATGACCAAGGCTGCCCTGTCCGTCACATGGGCGCCGCCTGCTTCTCCCTGGCCCTGTTCTACCTGTTCCTGCAAGAACTGGCACGAGCGTGTGGATTGTCGCCAGTGTGGCTCGCCCAAGCCCGATGCCCCGCCGTGGCGCCGCCAGCCAAGGCGCTCTGGCAGTGCCCCCCCGTCGCAGGACGGGCCGCGGGGCAAGGGCAGGGGCAAGGGCAGAGACAAGTCCGCTGGCAAGCCTCACGCACTGCGAGATGCACCGCCGACGGACAAGGACAAGGACAAGGCCAAGGACGAGGACGAGGACAAGGCCTCCGACGAGTACCGCTCGGCGAAGGAGATCCTGCACATCCGACCCGCGCTGCCGCAGGTGGCACGTGGGCATCCCAGGTGGAGGACGCCGCCTGGACCGCAGGCGACAGACGCCGAGGTCGAGAACTACAAGGAAAAGGCCTCAGCCAGACTGGAGGCCCTGAATGCTATCATCCTCGACCGCTACGACGCGGGCGAGGACTACGGCGATGCTGTGCTCGAGTTTGCGACCACTCTGACAATGTTGTTCTGTGCGAGAGGAGTGAAGGCCCAGCTCCAGAAGCAGGAGGAGGCCTTCGAGCGCGCCGAGAAGCGCCTACAGAAGGCGAACGACGTGCTGGAGGACTTGCAGACACAGGTGAAGCAGGCCACCATGGATGTCGACCTGGCCAAGCGCGACCTCGAGCACATGACCAAGACGATTGCCGAGCTGAAGACCCTGATCCAGTCCGAGAACGAGGCTGCCAAGGAGGCTGCCAAGAGGGCTGCCGAGCCAGCTCCCGCAGCGACGCCTGCTGCTGGAACTACGCCGGGGAGTGTGGCAGGTGGTGTGGCTGGTGCAGTCCCAGCTGGTGCGCCCATGTCCACGATCGGAGCGTTGGCCGCTCACCAGACGCAGATCTCGGCGATGATGGCCCAGCTGCAGGGTTTCCAATCCCTCATCCATCAGATGCAGTTGTCGGCTGGAGGAGGTCAGAACATCCCCGTGCCGACCGCCCACGTGACCTTCTCGACGGGGCCTGCTGGGGCTCCCGAGGCGGCGGGCAGGACGTCTGCAACGGCCCCCGGGGACGGCATGGGAGGAGCTCCAGGTGTGCATGGACAGCCGCCTGGGACGCCTGGCCGCACGGTCGCCGAGGATGCTGGGGCAGATGCAGCGCGTGCGGCTCCAGCGACGCCTATCACCGAGGAGCCCGAGGCACGTGCGGGCCGCGCAGAGGCTGGCTCGCGCTCGCCGAGGCGCTCGCCCAGCCGTGCGGCCAGCCGCGGGAGGGCAGCCCATCGCTCCCAGTCACGCTCAGCTCCTCGTGGTGTGACGACGGGAAACGTCTAGCGGCCGCTGCTCGCCGAGTGGGCCTCCGTCGGGATGACCCTCCACCCGACGAGAGAGGCCCCTCTGACCAGCGGCCGCCCATGAGTAGCCGTGACTTTCCTTTTCATTCTGTGCCTGCTGCTGTCGAGCAGCTCCTTCAGCCCTGGCCTTTTTCAGTGCATCAGCTGTGTGAAGAGGCTCTGTCAGCCTACCTGCATCCAGCTACCTCCGCGGTGCTACAGCAGCATGTGCCGTTCCTCCCCCTCCTTCCCCCCGCCCGTGTCCTCGTCTATACCGATGGCACTGGAGGAGCCGATGGATCTGACATATCGTTTGTTCCTGCGTCGGCTGCGGTGATTATCTATGAATACTTTGATGGTTCCAGGGCCCTTCGAGGATATGTATCTGATCTGGTCCCAGAAGATGTGATGGATCTCTTCCCGTCTTCCTACCACTCTGACACTGCTGAGATTCTTGCTGCTGCATGGGCATTGGCATGGATTGCCCAGGCGAACCTGGGGACAGTACCAGTTGTGCTCAGGCTCGACTCTATGCGTACGCTCGGAGTTTTGTTGGGCACCCAAACCTTCGAGGTCACCAACTCTGGTTTGATGTTTCTTCGGTCCCTGGTCCAGTTTCTGGCTGCTACCTGTACCATCCAGGGACAACATGTGCATAGCCACCAAGGGGAAGGATATAACGAGCTCGCAGATACTCTGGCGCGTCTCACAGGTATGGGACTGCTGCCAGGCATGGAGTATATGCCCTTTGCATCTCTGCTCTTTGACTCCTCTGCTCTGGCTTGGGCTTGGATGTATTCCGACCGCTCCGCTGACCTTCCGAACATCATAGGTACTAACACCTTGCGGGTCGGTGAGGTGCTCTCGGAGGGTTTCCAGGTCCAGGAGGTCATCGGGGTCCAGACCATCCTAGATGTGGCCCCCTCGAACAAGATAGAGCAATACAAGTTTGGGGTGGCTAACGTCTTAACGCTCCAAGGTAACAGCAAGTATAAGGGGTCCCAGCGGAGAGCCCCCCAATGGGCTCGTCTCTTGAAGGTTATCGGCCTGAATGCCCCTGGGAGAATCACGGCCCTTGCTCGTCAGTTTTCTGCTGCTAAATATCACTTCCTTGGGGTCCTGGAGACGCGATTACAGACGGCTTTGCCTAAGAGGGTCGGGGACTACATGATGTACTACTCCAAGTGTGCTGAGAATGGCGCTGATGGAGTAGCTATCTGGATCAACTGTGAGTTGCCTGTGAAAGGTATCAAGCCCGGCCGACATCACGTTGCCCAGCTCTATGCTGATACGAGTCGGCTCCTATTGCGTTTTCATGTGCCTGGCCTGCATCTATTGCTTGTTGCTGCTCACGCCCCGCACTGTGCTCGCAAGGATGTTTGCTCAGTTGAGAAGTGGTGGATTGACACGCAGAGGCTAGTGAGCCAGTACCTAGTACCAGGAGTGCAGCCTGTATTCATGTTGGACGCTAATGCTGAAGTTGGCTCCCACTGCTCGGCACAGATTGGGGATGTAGAGGCTGTGGAGGAGAATTTCTCGGGTAAGTGTATGCGAAGCTTGTGCCATAGGTTTCAAGTGGTTGCTCCCTCTACCTTCCTGCCTGCCCCGATCGACGACACACACAACACACATGCACACACTGATGGTAAGACCTGTAAGAGGTTGGACTATGTATTACTTCCTCAAGAATGGTTCTCGCTAGTGTCGCGTGCAAGAGTGGATCGAGAGGTAGACCTCGCCAACGCTGTGGAGGACCACAGCCCTACCTTTGTTGAAGTTGGTGTTCCGTCTGGCTCTCTTGCGCAGTCTCAGTACAGGTGGCCGCTGCTGCGAGTTCAGCCAGAGCGTCTCCGTGATCCAGTGATCCGAGAGGCATTTGCTCGGCATGCGGCTCAGTTTCAAGCGCCCGACTGGAACGCATCAACGACAGCGCAGTGTGCACGCGTGGATGCCCACCTCGTTGCCTTTGCCAAGGAACACCTGATCCCCGAGGACCCCCACCGGCAGGACTGGGTCAGTGAAAGGACCCTCGAACTCATAGAGTTGCGTAAGTATCTTCGCGCCCTTCACCGTGGTTGGCAACGAAAGGCTCCAAAGGTCCTCCTGCAGGTTGTATTCCAGACATGGGCTTCTATGGGACATCTTGGGCACATGGGAATATGGGGGCGTCTTAGGATCCGCAGTGGGTCCAATCAGATCATTGGTCTACGATTCCGTCAGCAACTCTGGAGGCTCTTAGAGGACTACCATGAACATCTACAGGTGCTTCAAAGTGCTGCCAGGTGCCACCTACCTGAAGGTCAGCGCTTTGCGAGGATACCTGACTGGGAATATATGATGACAATGTGTATTTCTCTCGCTCGCCCCCCCTTGGTCAACAGTGATTTACCGTGTCCTCGGGAGCAGCTGAGCTTGCATTGACGCTGGTGTGGGCTGATGAAGGCCATGTCTAGCAACATTACCTTTCTGACTTCGCGGCTCATTAGCTGGTCGTGTGACATGGACAGGGCCGACAAGATGGAGCAGGTGTCTAGGGATGTCTCTAGCTCGTTTCTTCAGAAGGAGTTCAGGAAGGCGCTCGGGCAGCTTAGATCCTTGGGTATAGGTTCTACG